CAAACCTCTGGAATTAAACCTGAATGCCAAAGTCCCACAATTTACAGCACCTTCAGCATTACATAAAATCTGCTCTCAGGAAGATTTTATCCCTCACTCAGATTTGTCAGTAATTACTGTTGTGAAGTGAATCTCTTTACATATTAAAAAAGCAATGCACTACTTTTGGATCAAAGAGGTACTTTGTTGACTTCAACACATACACAAACTGTCTGTACTGACAGCATTAAAAGAAGTTATGACCAGCACTGAAGTGTGACCAGACTTCTCAGATGGTTTCAATGTCTGGGAAGAAAATCTCAGTAGGTTCATAAATCTAATATATCTTTTTCATAATAAAACCTAGAGCAGCAATAATTGCAATAAAGTTTTAAAAGGTATCCTGAGAGGAATAAAAAAAAAATAACTGCTCTCTGCACCACAGCTAAATAAAGAAAAATTAGATTTATTTTTTTTTAAAGCCCATAAGGAATTCAAATTAACACACTTTGTAAAGGATGCTAGCAAAACACTTTTGAGGGAGACTATAATTATTGGTTTCTTTGATTTTAGTGACCTTGCTTACCTTATTTTTTTAAACAGACAATTTAAACAAGAAAGTTTCAAATGTCCAAACTGCTTTGGGTGCAAGACTTACAAAGAGCAAACTTTTGTAAGATAAACTGAGTTGGTCTACAGTACTTTTGCTATGATAATCCCTCTTCCTCATAAAACAAATCAGACCACTAAGCTCATTGCCTGTGTGATTTCAGTGTCAGAGATGAAAGGCCAAGACTTTCAAGCTCCAAACAGTCTCCAGAGGCAAGCCAAAGGCAGCCACAGTTGTAAAGTGTCTGCTGTTAAGACGTACGTCTCTCTCTGACAAAATTTCCACAAGCTGACATTTCCCTCCAAGCATTTCTCGTGCCTTCTGAAGGCCTAACTTAGATTACACCTTACAGAGTAAAAAAGAAACAGCAGATACAGGTACAAAACTACCTAGCCTTATGCAATTACTGTTCACACTGATCAACCAATCCTGGCAAGAAGCTGATGTTCAGCAAGGCAGCTCGAATACACTAAATGTCCCCATATTAAATATGGCACAGGGAATTCTTCTAACACTTAGCAGCAACATATTGCTATATACTTTATGAAGTGAAACAAAGCATCTAAATTAAAATCTTCCAAAATACAGAAGGGTGAAGACTGGAAGGCTTAGTCAATGTAAGTAAAAGTATAAACATTCATACAGTGCTAAATCCATCAAAGAAACTTCCCCTCTTTAATTCTTATGATTTCCACTCTTGTGCCTGTGCTGCCACCAAATTCCTAATTTACAGTTCATACAGAAAACAAACAGAATAGCCATCTGATGAGTGCTATAAGCTGTCTGTCAAACACAAGTAATTTTGGGGGCTGGTCTACAATAGCAGCCTTATCTTATCCCTAAGAAATAGTATAAAGGGCCTAAATTTTAAAGAGGTTCAAGTTTCTTTCTTATTTAACAACCAAAATTAGTTTAAAAATAATACTGTAGTCATGAATGATCTGCTTCAAATCTTACTACTTTTTTACTACTTCTAGCTTTTCTGCAAATGTCTGAACTGCAGCCTCAGGCAAATACTCAGGTATCTGAATCAGGGCCTGCAAGCACTTGCACACACATGTATTCTTAAAAAAAACCCCTAAAAATCCCACAGAATCAAGACTATTTTGAAAAGTGTCAACAAGTTCACAGGATCCATCTTGCTCTACTTCTCTTCTTCACCCATTCCTTCACTCACTTTTCTTCTTCTCTACAGGCAGTCCTAAAGCACTGTTCTTATTCCTCTTCACTTGTCTCTCTTCAGCCTACCTTCTGGTAGCAGCATCTACAAACAAATGCAACTACTGTCTCTCTGCTCAGAGCTCAACAACCCTCTTTATACTCAGATCCATCTTCTGCCCAAGCTGAAATCTCAGCCTTTCTTTTCACCTAAATTTCAAGTAAATTAAAGCATGGTTCTCCCTCCAGAACCACATTCCACTATCTTTATGGACTTGCCACTTGCTTTGACATTCTAGGCATCACATTTTACTTGCATCTCTTCCAGGTTTCCTCACCTAAGTGATATAAAGGCCACATATGCACAATGTGGTGAAGGCAGTGCTGTCCTAAATCTGCTTTTCATTTGAGCTGCAGAAATATGATCTATCTTTTGTCTTGAACCTATATGGTGGCAGTATTATTGGATATTTCTCATTTCTACTACAGCTACCTCCAGAAGCAGATCTTGTAAGGACATGCACAACTGATTGCTCTAAGTGACGGAAACTTAAGCTGAGAGATAGAAAATCTGGGCCTCTGTGCCCAGGAAAAGGCCGGGTGTAACCTTCTGTATCTGTTTGTGTAAGGTGCACCCTCACAGAGGCTGCACAACATAGATAATCTGTCCCATTACATCAGTCTCTCAGCACCTCACAATTTGAGTATACCGTGTTCTCCAGCATTGCCTCCTTCAGCTCTGCCCCCTTTCACCTTTGCTGAATGCTGCAGTACTCCCACGTACTTTAACCATGTCATGTCTGTCTAGATGTTCTGCCAGTGACTCGCCCTTTTCTAGTGCATCAAAGAACTGCTCATTCTCCTTTTCCAAGCCTTTCATAGCTCACTTCATTCAAAAGCAAAAGCTCAGCTCCCAGCTCTGCCTGAGCTGTGAACTCTACACAGAAGCACCTTCTGTGCTTTTTCCAGTGCTTCCTGTTTTTCATGAAGTAGCAGCCCAGGTGATAGAGGTGCCAGTGGAGGTCCCAGCCATGGCTCCTTGTCCTTGACTGTCCTTTGAGTCAGTCACGTTACTATCTCTGGCAGGTAGCTGCTCTTTTTGTTTGTTTTTTTTCTTTTCCTCTCCTGGTGATCTATATTGCTTATACAACACAGTAATTTGCTTGTCTTCTGTGTTTCAGGCAACTAACTTATAGATATTTAATCTAACCAGGAAATTTATAAAACTGCAGCCTCCCAAGATAACAGTATAATCCTGACACTTCACATTACTGTCATCCTACACATGCTACAACAAATAATTCCTCCATTTGCATTAGAAATCCTCTTCAGCCAACACTGTTAATTTTGCTTGCAGTTTAAAAAGGAGGATTTTCTTTC